CCCACTCATAATAAAATTTAAATGTTCTAATTAATATTCTTAAACATAAACTTAATGATAAATCATAAAAAATGCCTCAATGAAAAAATTCACATATAATAATAATTCTTAATTTTTTTGAAATATATATATATTATATAATAAGAATTAAAAATTTTTTTTGAAAAATATATATATTAATTATATATAATGATTTTTTTAATTCAATATTTTTTGTAATTATTAATAGTAAATTAATGTTAACATAAATTTGGAAGTAAAGGGAAAAAAATTACAAGTCGTAAAATCATAAATTTTCAATAAAGAGAGTGTATAATTTTTTTTTTTTTTTTAAAGATGGTTATAAAAAAGACCATTTTAGGACTGATAACATATCAATCTAGTGTAACAGTTTCACTATAGAAATGGTCCAAGACTGGACCAAGACGGACCGGTTTAAACTTCAGTCCCTATTTGAAAAAAGACCATTTTAGGACCAATAACATATCAATCTAGTGTAACAATTTCACTATAGAAATGGTCCAAGACCGGTCCAAGACAGACTGGTTTAAACTTCAGTCCCTGTTTGAAAAAAGACCGTTTTAGGACCATTTTCACATGATAAAGACTGCAAGACTACCAGTTGGTCTTTTTTGAGAAAAGACTAGTCCAGTCCAAGGACAGACCATCAGTCCGCCGGTCTTTTGGGACTGTTTAACATCCCTACACATTTCAAACATGAAAGGTTGACGACTTTATTTAATGCTAATACTGTAATATTAATTTCAATTTCTAGCAAAAATTTGCTGATTTTCAAGATGATATAATTGCATGGTTTTATTTGAATTTCATGGTATTGATTATGGTATTCTAGTTCCTTCACATCTCATAAACAACCTGGATGAATTATTAAAAAAAAATATCTGGTAATATTGATGACTTAATAAGAAAATTAATGAAATATATTTATAGGAATAGAAATGGTTATATTGATTATATATAAAGATTTTGTGTCACCATTTCCTGAATCATCTATCACACCAATATCTGACAATAATAATCTTGACATAAACAATGACATTATAAATGAATCAGAATTATATAATGAAAATTCAGCTCTTGAAACAGATGATATATCGACAGTAAGCAAGGATGATCTTACAATAAACCATGATGACAATCAAAATGAATCAGAACTAGGGTTTGTATTCACAGATACTGTAAGGAGGTCACACACCATTAAAATCAATTTTTTAATAGCATCTAACCCCTTAACAGTATTCATGGTATCTGTGAATACAAACTCTAATTGGAACCAGAAGAAAATACAGAACCCAATATGAATAATGGCAATGATCAATTGATGCATGAAGAATCGATTGATGTAGAAATAAAGATAGTGCTAATGTTAACAATAATATTAGAAATTCAAAGGAGGAAAGGTTTTAACAAACTTTTCTGTTTATTAATATATTAATGTATTAATTTACCTTTATTTTTGTCAACTTATACATTCATTTTTTAAAAATCTTACAGAAGAATTATAACCTTTGGGCCTGAAAATGAACTAATTATAATGTTGGCACCTTACACAAAAAATGCCACCATTACTAAAATGTAAGAATAACCAAAACGTTAATAATATACATAACATTTTGTTTAATTTTTTTACTTATACTTACAGACATCATTGTCATCATCATCATTGTCATCACCATCATCGCCACCATCACTGCCACTATTTAATGATGATGAGGTATGTGTATATAGTGTAAAATATAATTATACTTTAAGATAAAGTATTACCTTTCATATATAGGTGGGAGTGTACAAATATGTGCCCAGCGCATTTTCATTATTAATATGGGGGATATATAAATATTTCTTTATAATGCTTTTATTCAATCTTCAGCTGCATTAAAGTATTGTTGGCAGATGTTTGGATTTTTTTTATGAGGCGAATTTGATGTTCTATTACTTGGATTAAATTCAAATCAATTTCATCACTGTCAATATTAAAGCATTTTAATATTATTACTAATAAAACAAAAAAATTATTTTAATTGCTTAATTTAAATAGTTATTGTGAATATTTGAATTTGATTTATGTTGTGCAAATGGAGACTAATAAATTTGATTTTCAAATATATTTTTTTCTTTTAAATGTATATTATCTCATTATCATTTTATTATAACCGCAATTTACATCAAAAAACAAGTGTCTATTAAAATACTAAGTTAACAAGTTTTGAATTAATGAGTCCCTATTTTTTTTATTTTTTATTTTTTTTTAGGTTTAACAACATAGACTTGTGACATTTTATTTGTTTAAAATTTACATACAAATAAAAAAATCAAATTTTACTAAAAGTAGCAACTTGATGTCATAAACAATCTCAATGAAGTCTCTTTTCTTGTAAAAAAAAGAGAATTAAGCTGAAGCACCCCAATTATTGATCATGTAAGATATCTGCCAAGAAATTTGTGTTGTTGCTTGTTATCTTTTTATTGATAGCAATAAATATTATTTTTGTTGCTGAACCTTTTATTAAAGAAATAAAAGTTTTTGTCATGCTTCTGAGGTATTTATTATTAATATTGCCCATTATTTTAATATTAATTTTTATTACATTGATTTTAATAGATTTGTGGATTAGAATGGAATATTGAAGGAAACCAATCAGCAAGCAGTTGTAATCTTAATGAACTCTTTATTTGGGAGAATAGAAAACATAACTCAATTTACAGTCTTCATGATCACACTGCTGCAATTCAAGCTTTATCATGAAAGTAATTTATTGGTTAGTGGTGGTGGTCACTTTGATAAAAAAATTTGTATTTGGAATACTTTAAATGGAAAATGCTTAGGTAGATGTGATTCAAAATCTCAGCATGGCAAATCAATTAATAATTAGTAACTATTATTATTATATGAATCATCATTATTTAAAATACCATTTTATTTTTCATGTTCTATATTTGTAGGTTTGCGATTTACATTGGTTGTTGATTATGAATGAAATAGTTTCTACACATGGCTGGTGGAAAAATGATATCTATATTTGGAAGTACCCATTGATGAAAAAAATAGAACTTTAAAAAGTCATACTTACTGAGTTCTATACATGAGTCACTCACCAAATGGAGAAGATATTGTGACAGGGGCAGGTGGCAATGATAATACCTTGAGATTCTGGAAGGTTTTTAATTCACTGTTAATCATGCAGAAAGGAAACTTGGAGTCCTCACTCAAAATTGGATGGATTGATTTGTTAAAATATTTAAACATGTATATAACTATCCATCTATATTAATTATTTAATCATTTCAACCATTCATTCATATATACACAACAAGTTTAATTTGTACTTGTGTATGCATTATCAAAATAAATCTGAACTTTTTAAAATAAATTATATAAAGGGTATAGTGCAAGACACCTAGTCCCACAACTTTTTATTGGCCTTGTAGATCCTTCTCTAACTCCAAAAATGGAAATG